GTTATATTTTTGTATTCTTGATTTCTGATTATTTATGTTTTTCATTTATGTAAATTGTACTCTGAGATAATCTAATCCTCCTGAATTATTACTCAGATATAATCAAAATCTAATCCAATATTCCTATAATCCTCAATTGATCAAAGATATGACTCAACTAATTAAGAAATCAAAAATAATCCTAATCCTCAACTGATCAAAGATATGACATGATTCACTCAATAATTTTTAGAAAATCAAAAACCTGTATTAACTGACTACTATATAAATCGCAAATTCAATGTCATTTCATAACCATTCCTCGACACTTGAAAACACCGGTTCGTGTCAATTGCGTAAGTTTTTGTTTTACTTGTTATAATTTTTCACATCATTGTTAGCGTTATTTATCACCTAAATATATATTTTTTTGCATTTTTCATCTTGCTTTATATATCCCCAAACCCAGTTTGACTTATTTGCATAATTTGATCCCAACATTTTCACGCTAGCATATACAGTTTCCTCCTGTTACATCCGCTGTACATTCCCTTCTAACCCCAAGTTATTTTCATTATGCTCCCCAACTACAACAACCACTGGCAAGAAGCCAGAAATAGAAACACTAATCGTCAACCAAACCAATATCACGTACCCTACAACGGCCCCGTCTTCCATCGACCTCTACCACCTACCAATCGCCGACCACCAACCAACCCATCCAGCTATATCCCACCCCATCGCCGACCTACCTACAACACAGCCTACCAATCAAGAGGTAACCATCGACCTGACCAACAACAGAAACGACTACCAGCCCACCGACGCCAACCAGTCCCCACTCATAAGGAGGAAGAACCCTTTGTGAAGGTGTTCTTCCAAGTTTTGCAGTGCCTCCATCATTTGGCAATCCTTACCCTTCAACAGCAAGGCCAACCAGCGTTTACCTTCAAACGCAAAGTCTCTGAGTTGGATAGTTTTATCCGTCCGACAATGAAAACATCAGCTGTCGACGCGAATATTAGATCCCTCAATCGGACATGGCTCTGTAAGGTTACGCAGGTCCTGATCGACCATTACCAAACCACACTTCAAGAGAAGCTGACCACCATTCGTACCAAGTCTTTATCATCACCTGCCGTCGACCGCATCGTTTCTCATGCCCTGTCCTGGGCCCGTCGCTCCTATGGGAA